AAATCACGAAAAGTCGTAATTGTTCCACAGTAAGTCTACTACGAAAATGTACCCCGACTTGTGCGAAATTGAACATTAAGAAAAAATGAGTCTCGAAATAACCAAAATTTGCAAATGCCGTTAAAAACTGGGTTTGGAATTTATTTTCAATTTTTTTTATTAGACAGGTGAGTAGTTAGGCAGGTTAATTGCTTTTGAGGAAAAGTTTTCAAACAACTGACCGGCGCATTTTGATTTAGATAGTTGCTGTTTTTGGTTAAAATTTTTGTGATTTGGGACCACTCTCTCTCATTTGGTTTTTGAGACTCTTTATCACACTTGTACCGTTTTACAGTTCCTGCTCTTGCTGTTTGTTATAGCTATTTTTACGTCAATGATCCAGAATTTAAATTTCAGATATATTTTGCGCCGAAAAATGTTTTAAGCTATTCAAAGTTGGTAACCAAAGTTGAATCTCTGAAAATCGAATTGAGGGTATAGTTAACGAAATCCGTTATTTTTTAAAAACTGATTACACTAGTCACCTTGCGAGCATTAATTTATTGATACGAATCTTCTTTTTTCTAACCTAGCGCTCAAATAAAAGTATTTATTAAAAGTATTCTTTTATTTGGTAGCACATTTGCATAAAAAAGTAAAAAACGCCAGCAAAATTATGGTTTTAATTTTCAAGCAAGATGACGGAATATATGTATTCCGGGTTGTTTTTTTTTCAGACAAATTGCGTTTTTTTTTTACTAGAAGCTACAATCTTTAACGAGTTTTTGATATAGTCTGAAAGATATTGTTGACTAGAGCTAAAATCAAAAAGATCTTTTGCTTGTTGTCATTTCAAGTTTTGAGAATTGCCACCCTGTGCTTTTTAGTAGCATATTTTCCTTCCTATAAAGACTTGACTAATCAGCCATTGCAGATATATGAATGTTGTATCAATTTTCTTCCCCTGTTTACATCAGCTGTTTGTTTCAATTAACAGGCCTAAAATAAAAACTCCTTGTCAGAAATTTTCCAACTCAATTTATCTCGCAAAGTTTTCGAAATCCATAATTTATGCATTATTTGGCTATATTCTTTCCAGTTTATTACATGCAAATTTAGTGCGGATGCCTTTAGTTTATTTAATTCCAAAATACATGCAAAATTTGGTTCTATTTGTATTTGGTGCCATTTTTGGTGCATAGCATTAGCAGTTTATGAGCATATGTAGATGTTTTTTTAGTGGCTAGTCTTAGTAAATATGCAAAGGTCCGTGTCGCATATGCGATGTCGTGCGACTCCAAATTTGTTTGTTTCCTTGCTTGCGTTTGCGCTCTGTGTGTAATAAAGAGGAGGAGGTAGTTAAATAGGGTCCAATCATTAAAGCGCGATAGTAACCTGTTTTCTGTTAGCGCGTAGCGTCAGTGGTAAATTGAACCGACTCAATTATCATCTACAATATAATGGTGGCGACCTAATTGGTCCGGTAGCGTATGAACGGATGAGAAAAATATCACACTACTTTGCATTGCGTATTTTCAAAAACAAAGTTGCATTGGCAAAAACAAAGTTTTTAGGTTTTAAGCTGCCTCAAAACCTTTGTTGGCAGTCAGAACATTCAGGTCTTGTTTTAAACACTGTTTTGATTAATGGTTTTACTGTATGAGCACACGTGGAGACAATACAAAGAACTCAAAAGTTTGCAACTATTCCAAAAGCTACAACTAGTAACAAAGCAGTTAATTGATTGCGCAATGAGCATCAATCAAACGGTCATGCGTTGAGTGGGCGGCAGTTTTTTTGATTTTTTCACGGAACCATTTAGATATTGAACCATAATTTATTGCCCTGATATGAAGCGGTGTATGTGGATTTGCTACAAGTTTCGCTTTCGACAAATTATCCACTAGTCTTGCCTTCGAATTGTGCAAACAGCGAAACGAAACCAATAGGTGATACTAGAAAGGTGGTACGTTAATCAACACAATGCGGCAATATTTTTGACCTTGTTCTAGGTAATCGGTCAAAAAAGGAGCTTTCTTGGTTGATTGGGTTTTTTATTCAGTTATTATGAGCTGAAATGTGTAGAAAATTAATTCTAACGTCGGTATGATCAGTTTTAACTTTATTGACTTTGTTCATTTCGTTGACCGAAAAGGATATTGCTTATAATTTAGTCTCAAGTGTAAATAAATGAATATATATTTATTTTTGTTCATTTTTCAACGTGTTTTGTGTAATTTAGGTGTCTCTGGAGTTTGACGAAAAGACAGTTACGCGGCAGTTGAAGTACACTGGAATGCTGGACACTATCCGAATTCGCAGCTCAGGCTACAACGTCCGAATGCTCTTTGATGTAAGATCATTTTCCCAAAAAAAAATTTAATTGTGTTCAAAGTTGTTGTTGCTTTGAACGGGAATTAAATGAGATAAAAACATCGTGAATAAAATGAGAAAAAAAGCGAATGAATCAAGATTAAACAAACGTGAATAAAACAGGATTTTAAAAGAAACTTGGAAATAGGATGTAAAAAAACGTGAATAAAACAAGATTTTAGAAGAAACGTGGAAATAGGATGTAAAAAACGTGAATAAAACAAGATAAAAAACCTTAATTAAATAATTTTTTTAAAAAAAACATGACTGAAACATAATCGCAAAAAACTGAAAAAAAACTGTTAAATGAAAAAAAATGTATAAAACAGAGATAAAAAAAATGCGAACTATTTGGCCTTTAATGAGATTAAAAATGCAAATAAATCAAGATTAAAAAAACGTGAATAAAACAAGATTTTAAAAGAAGCATGGAAATAGGATGTAAAAAACGTGAATAAAACAAGATAAAAAACCTTAATTAAATAATTTTTTTTAAAAAAAAAACATGACTGAAACATAATCGCAAAAAACTGAAAAAAAACTGTTAAATGAAAAAAAAATGTATAAAACAGAGATAAAAAAATGCGAACTATTTGGCCTTTAATGAGATTAAAAATGCAAATAAATCAAGATTAAAAAAACGTGAATAAAACAAGATTTTAAAAGAAGCATGGAAATAGGATGTAAAAAACGTGAATAAAACAAGATAAAAAACCTTAATTAAATAATTTTTTTTAAAAAAAGCATGACTAAAACATAATTGCAAAAAAAACAGAAAAAAACAACTGTTAAATAAAAAAACTATAGAAAACGGTGCAAAAAAATATATTTTAGAATAATCGCATTTCGTGGAAATGAAAACTGTGTAATTAGCCACTCTAAATGTGTTGTTTTTCTGCTTGATTAACATATCTTCCTAGTAATTCGATTGATAGCTATCAAGCCGCGAGGTTATCGAAGTTTAAAGGAAGTTACCGGTTGGAGCTGATTTTTTGCGTAACAACTCAATTTTTTCCGGAAACTATTTTTCATTACGTATTTTTTTTGCCTGTGTAGGAAGAAATTCGGCTCGGCGTTGTTTTTGTTGCAAAATTGTCTAATTAGGAAATATTAATTCCCGCACAAAAGAACTTTATACTGCTCAATTATGCTATGAAGACAATGGGTTTCAAGGGCGGATTTAGCGAGAAGGACTTTGAATTTAAACTCTTCGCCATCCCCTTAAGAGTCTCTTCTGACACCATTAAATCTATTTTTATCTCACAGACCCTGTTTCAAAATGAGTTGGAAACTAATTATACGTCAAGCTTTTCAGATAATCTCGGCGCAATAAGTTTTAGCAAATAATGGTCGGAGAATTTTTGCGGAAGCTCAGCAAATCAAATTTAATTAGATTAGAAATAATTTTTTTAATCGAAAATCCACCCCTCCTGTTTCCGCCTTGATTTTTTGAATTATTTTTAAAATCACACTCTTATTCCAACTGATTTTCTTGTGCGATATTTTTTTCATCCTTGTTTTTGTGGATGTGGTCGTTAATCCAGTCGTAGTAATAGCTGACGTTAGTATACACGCCCAGTTTGCCTGGCTGACCACACCCAATTCCCCAGCTGACAACGCCCACCACCTCCACCGCCCCGCCCCTCTCCTTCAACATTGGCCCCCCAGAGTCGCCCTGGCAGGCGTCCAGTCCCCCCTCTAGACTGCCGGCGCAGAACACAGACTGATTGTTGGGAATGTCCATCACTCCGGAACAGTTTGCGCCAGAGATTATTCCCATCTCAACTGAAATTGAAAACCAAGTCAAGTTCCATTTTTTTGAATGGACATCAAATTTTGAATGGACATCAAATATTCAATTTTTTTTTCTGAGGCGCATGCAATTAATTCGCTGTAATATTGCATTCATAGACGTAAAAGTTAATTTGGTTTTTGAACCTTTAAAAAAATTAGAGGTTTTTAAAAAATATGTATATCTGAAGTATATAATACACAAATCATATATATCAATGGTATGCGCAGATAAATTAATTCCTAATGAAGGAAGTTTATATTATGACGACGTAACTTTTGGTTTCTCAGCATGAAGTTCGGTTCGAAAAAATTTCATTGACCAAAAATTGAAAATGAAATAGGAAAAATTGCTTAGTTGAGATCATTAAAAATGGGGAGGAACTTTGATCCGTGTGTGTTTAAGTTGTTTTTTTAAATACTGTTTTGTTTTCCAGATAAAATTAGGTACCGCAAGTAATCATCGGACTCAGTTGAGTGATATATCATGTTAAAGCTCTTTCAGTCGTGATTCGAACGACATTTAAATACTTCCCAGTGTCCATAAAAACCGGTTTGAAATTATTGATTTTTCGTCTGTTTTCGAACGATCGAGTAACGTTCGTTATGCATGAAAAAAGAAGCAATTTGGGCTTAAAAAAATTTGAGTGTACTAAAAAGAAAAATATTTTTGGAAGCTCGGTATTGCGCTCCTCTGGCAAAACAACTTTAAAAAATATTTAATTCTTAAGTGCAAAAAATTAAAAAAATAATTTCTTTCATTTTTTTGTTTATTTATTTTTAAAGACAATTGGAATCGTTTATGCCTAACTCACTAAATTTGAAAGCGTTCGTGTAGTTCTATCATTACACGATGCACAAAAAGAAACAAAATATATTTTTAAGAGAATGTGGTCGGAACATTCTGTGCTACTTGTACAGCAACCGGCTATCCTTGTTGGGCTTCGATTTTTTTCAAAGAAGGCTGATTTTTCTATCAAAAAGGGAGTCAATCACAAAAGCATCTGGAAACTCAATAAGCTTTAGGTTCCTATGTTCTTTAAACAAGTCGCCATGTTTTGGTTTTCTTGAGATCATTTCCAATTGTTTGTTGGCTATGTTTGACAAATTTAAAAAAGTATATAATGTTTCCCAGTTGCTCGTGAACCTTATTAGTTGAGAAAATTAATCATCATTCTCTGCAAAGTTTATTTGAGATAAACCCAAATTGATTTCACCTTCGTGTGGTATCTCTGGTTGCAACTGGTTTTGGGATTCCCTATGTTGGCTGTTCTGAATTAATGAGGATGGCAAAGAACCCCGTAAGCTGTCCGCACCAGTGTATCGAACTTGTGTGTGTCCCCACCCCATAACTGTCGCTTTTTCACCCTCTCCAAGTGCTTCTCTACTGATACACGCGGGGGGCACATCCAGTACCGGTTCGTTCAGTTCAATTAGGGCTATGTCGTGGATTTCCTGATAATTAAATCAAACTTAACCATAAATGTTGTTAGTAATTTGATCTGAATGAAGTCTTAGATAAGAAAAAATGGTTAAATGACTTGACAGAATCGGCGCTGTATTTGATTTGGTACAATGAATAACTGAGAATAGTATTAATTATGTTCTGTATACTTGACCATTTAAATGATTTTTGAAGCCTTTAAACTGATTTAAATTAAAAGACATCACACTTCAACAAAACTAGTCTTCCCATTGTTGTAATCGAGTTATGATGCGCAGTCGGGTATTTTGTTTCCAAAACCACATTTTTTTCGTAAATTGGAATCTTTGAACACTACCTGGCCATTCCAACGTGTCTTGTTAGCTTAGAGTAGTGACCTTGGCACTTGCCGCAATTAGCTGTTTTGAGAGCTACGCATGATTTTGTCATCTTTAATATTCTATACTAAGTGTGGTTTTAGCGATTCGCAGAGGATCTATGAAAGGATATCCAACATGTCGAAGCATTATTCAGTTCTATTATTTCCCCACATTCAAGACTGAGTTATTTTTAAGTTTTTAAGGGAAGGGTAAAATCCTTTAAAGGGTTTTCGATTAAAGAATTGGTTCTTATATATAAGTTTGTAGGTTTCTTCAAAGGAGTTTTAATTGATCATCACTGCCTATAGGTGCCTATAGGAAGACTGACCACTTTCCCGCTCAAGCAGTCTCCCTTTCTTACTAATTTATTTTAACCCGACTTGAAAAATTTCTTCTTTATATAATTAAGGGCGAATGAGAGTAAAAGTAAACTCATTTGATCATAAGTAAATTCTATATGAATCTCAATTGCAGAAAGCTACGATCATAATATGGACTAGCGAATGGATGCTGTATGCCAAATTAAGTATTTTTTCAGACATTGTTGTAGAATCAAAGTATTTTCTTAAGAGCTCTAAGTTTTACACTAAAATTCTGAAAAAAAAACGTAATACGTAATTTGGCATACAGCATCCATTCGATAGTCCATATTATGATCGTAGCTTTCTGCAATTGAGATTCATATAGAATTTACTTATGATCAAATGAGTTTACTTTTACTCTCATTCGCCCTTAATTATATAAAGAAGAAATTTTTCAAGTCGGGTTAAAATAAATTAGTAAGAAAGGGAGACTGCTTGAGCGGGAAAATGGCCAGTCTTCCCATAGGCAGTGATGATCAATTAAAACTCCTTTATAGAAACCTACAAATTTATATATAAAAAACAATTCTTTAATCGAAATCCATTCGATAGTTTTCTGCAATTGAGATTCAGACTCAAAAGACGTATGATCAACTGATTTTGCTTTAACTCCCATTCGCCCTTTAAAATTATTTGGAGAAGTTTTTCCAAGTGAAATCTTGAAATTTCGAATTTGGCACTTGAAAAAGTAACCGTCGGTCTGTAATATTGCTCGTGTCTGAACACTCGTTTTGCCCATCTCACACGCTCTCCCGACTCCCTTTCGTGCGAGTGGAAGTCGTTCACGTGTAGCGAAGTCACCGATTGAGATCCTTTGATGTTCGGGTTAAGTGCGATTGCGTGGCGTGCACAGTGGGAAGCGGTGAGCACGAATCTCTCGTGGATGAGGACTGAGCCACAACTGGGGCTGAATTTGTCATCTGGTACTATGTGTCCCCTCTCCCAAACGGACTGGCGAAGATTGACTAGCCAAGGATTGTGTCCTGAAATCGAGCGCCATTGTTGCCAAATAAAACAAGCTGAGAAAAAACAAACAATTTTCTTGAGTTACAACCTCATAAAACAATACAACCTTGATGCCAATAAACACAGAGTATATGAACGGTGAAAGCGGAGTAAAAAAGTTTCAACTAATTGACTCCGGGCACGACCTTGCACATATATATATTTTTTTATATGTCAAAAACATAAGACTAAATGTATGGCGAGACGATTACATAGTGCAGCCTTAAGCTTACCTTGATATACTGTTAGCGAAGTCACCTATTGAGATCCTTTGATGATGATATTTAAAATCAAGAAATATTTATAATGTTTCCTTTCTAGGGTAGACTTTCAGTGGCTATTTATTTTGCCCTTCGTCTATCCTCTCCTTGGTCATTTTGGTTCTTTATAATGTTTGACGATGTTGTGTAAAAACTTGATTTGGGAGAAAGAAATTATTTCTTTCTTTTATATATATATATATATATATATATATATATATATATATATACACTAGTGTTTTGCGCAATTCTAGGGATAAGTGTGCCAGCATATTAAAACTCAATCAATTGCGATTCAAGTTCCATTAGCACAATTTTCGAATTTTTTTCTCTTCAGCTGTTTCTGGATCTGACTATTTGTTGGATTTATAAAGATGCCATGATTTCTTTTCCGGCTTTTTATGAAAATTCTAAAGTTTGTTCTGTCGCAAATTTTTGTTTTCGATGTTTGACTTTTGATTTCTTTTTAACTTCAGTTCATTTCTTTTGTTAAAAGGAAGGCAAACTCCACTATCGAACAGCAAAAATGTAAAGGTCACGAAAAACGTGACCGATTTCTAACTTCGAAAATGGAAATTAATTATCAGATTTCCCAGTGAAATCCAAGTTTAAAGTATTGATCCAGTTTTCTCAAATTGGGTTAGTTTGGCAAAAAAAGTGTCCATCATAAATTGTTCTAAAAATGCAAAGAGCTTTAAAGCCATCTATTTTTTTCTTCGAATTTCAAAAGTTGAAGTCTCTTGAAAAAAGTCTCTTTTCGGTTTCCTTGCGTTCATTACTCTTTTCCAACTGTTAGTTGGCTATGTTTATAGTATAGTTGCCAAGGCTTTACAAAATGGTAATAACATGTGTCTCACCTATCATGTTCGCCTCAATTAATGATATAAATTTACTAAAAATCGAAATGAACCAAATTAAACCAAAAAGATGATTCTTAAGTTCGAATAATGCAATATTATGGATATTTGTCAAACAATGAACACAATTTAAACCATAGAATTGTTGTTTTGCCTTTTTGTGAATAAATGGAATTCGCTGTAATGCTACAAGCTCCAGATCTATTGCAGAACTCGAAGCCTAGCTCTTGTGACCGCAAGATCTCGGCAGCATCTGGCATGATTTTTATCAGACATATGCTTGCTACTCACTCTTCAAAAGAAGGCTGTTTGCTGCATGTAGGGTGCACTGCTCAGTTACGCGGCAGAGCAGAGGAGTTTAAGGAAATAAGAGCTTTTGGATTTACGACCTTAAGCTTTTAGGAAATGTGTTTTTTTTTGTCTGGCTGCTCCGTTGATACCCAGCGAAAAAAAGAACATCTTTCAAGTGCACATCAAAGCTTTGATCGTTTGCCGATTCAACGTTTTTTTTTTCCATAGAACGGGTTTTTTCTCTGTCCTTGTCCTTCAGTTATTTTGGTTTTGTTGTACGTTATGTCTGGGATGTTTTGCCTTTTTTCTTAGGGCAGTAATTGTTTTTTTTTCTTAGCTCAAAACAAACATAGCTGCTTTTGTATACAGACCACTCTCGAATGTCCACTAGTTTTTTTGCACGATTTTAGGGATAAGTGTGCAAGCATAATGAAACTCAATCAATTGCGATTCAAGTTCCATTAGTATATATATTTCGCAATTTTTTCTCTTCAACTATTTCTGAATCTGACTATTTGTTGGATTTATAAAGTTGCCATGATTTTTTTTCGGTTTTTTTATGAAAGTTCTAAAATTTGTTGTGTCGCAAATTTTTGTTTTCGAGGTTTGCCTTTTGATTTTTATTTGAAGTTCAGTTCATTTCCTTTGTTAAAAGGAAGGCGAACTCCACTATCGGACGGCAGAAGTTAAAAAGTCACGAATTATAATTGATCGAATTATAATTTGGAATTCATTAATGGATTTTAATTATCAGATTTTCAGCAAAATAGAAACTTCACCTATTGGTCGAGCCTTCTCAAATTGGGTGTTTAACCCAAAAAAAGTGTCAAAGATAAATTTTTCGATAATCTTAAAGGGCTATTTGCTATTTATTTCTTAAAATTAAAGTATTTTTTTGTTTAGTTGAGTTAATTGGCTCTTTTTGCTGATTATGTTATTATGCTTGCGATTTGAACTAAAAGTTTAAGCACTTGAAAAAAAAAATGTTGTACTACTTTTTGTCTGCTGATTTTTGTCGGCTTGGTTGCCTTAGCATCGGTTGTTCTTATGATTTATGCAATTTTTGCTCAATTTGAAGATAATTTTTAATGTATTTATGTAATGGTATAAATAACTGAGTTCTAAGAAGTTTTCTCACAAAACAAATCATTTTCTTAAAAATCCAAGCAAAATTTCTTGGAACTCAATTAGTTGACCGATTATTTAATTACAAAAAAATTCTAAAATTGATTGAAGTTACATGATAAGCTTGAGCTAGCTTGTTTTCCAAACTCGAAATAGGTGAAAATGTCATTAGAAACATCCGTTTTTAAGGGTATATTTTTCATGCCTACGCACTGGCATATTATTTTATATCTCAAGTTTCAAAAGTTCATTCGAGGTTGATGCTTATTCTCAAGTATTGTCGGCTGATTTGCTGAAGAAATGCCATTTAGAGCCACAAGAGACCCGTTTGATTATTATTTTACTGGAGCATCAGAAATAAGACGACGGGCTTGTTGACACTTCCCATATTAATTGGCTTTTTTCATGTTAAAGTACCCAGGGAGAATATGTGACTTATTGTCACGAGAGGCTTATGTCGTCCAGAGCTTACTAGCTACATCCTACCCTAAAAATGAAGCATTAATCGGCATTTAGGGAATTTGGTAGATGCATTTATCGGGAATAGGTGAATAGTAACAAAAATAGACATACATTATTCCAAGTCAAATTGCCCTACAAGGATAAATGTAATATACTAACCGCTTTCTTAAGACAATTGAGTCAGTGGTATACTAACCGCTCGTTTCATAGCAAAGTTTTAGTGCATACTCAGTTGATTCAGCGTAATTTAAACAGCATGAGCTGTATCCGCTTGATTTTTGCAAATTAATTAATGCGTGATCGGGTATTTATTACTCAAGATTGTGCAAAAGTGTGGCGAAATTTTTGTCTTCAAAGCCACAGATGGTTGGTTTGATCCCTCGGTGATCAACTCTTGTTAAAAATTTTTGTAGTTTTTTGAGCTCTTTTATGTCGTGTATGCAAAGCCGTATATCAAAAAAAAATGAAACGAAGAATGTTACAGCGGAACCTTCTGTGTAACTGGGAACTTTGGTGCTACATGCATATCAAACGGGAACTCTTGCCGTTTTTTCCACAATTGTATTTTGCAGCAAAAATGAATAATTAAATTCAAGTTTCCAGCTTCAATTTATGTGATAAGTTAGCTGAGTTGCTACTTAAGCTTAGGTATTGGTGTTTTCTTGAAAATGTTGCCGGCTTTTTGATATTTTTGGGCTTTTTTGATTTCCCGCACTCGTATTTTTCCACTTTGAAGTATTATAATTGAAAGCGAAGCTGTTTTGATTATAACTAACAGAAAATTATTTTCATGCAAGCTGCCTTGTAATCAAGGGCGCGCAGATAATTCGACTCAAGACTATTCGGCCGAAGCAATTCAGTTTAACACATTCTGAGCTTAAGACATTCTAAAATTCGACAAGAGAGGTGCTCTGCAGTGCGTAATCCTCGGGGGGTCAAAAATTAGCGAGGCGGTTGGACATTTTTCAACAAAAATGGCGTTTTTCATTGCGGGGGGTGGGGGGTCTCGCAAAATTGGATCAATTCTGAAAATTTGATGATTAAATTGTGTCAAAAATGTTCTGGAACTGAAAAATTGGCATACACAATCAGGTGAAAAAACAGTCTTTTTGATTTGAAGCTCTCAAAAATGGCATATTTAAAAAAAATTTTGGGTCTAGATTTTATGGTATAAAAATTCCGATAGGAATTTTTACATCATCTAAATTTTACAAAATATACATCGTCCAAATTTTATACATCACTGATTGTACCTTTTTGAGACTCGTGACCGCCCACTACTCTACGTTCTAGTTCGACCACATCATCATTCTTCCTGCTAGATACCGCCCGCTCTTCCTCACTTGTTTCAGTCGGTCTGATTCCGCATTGAGGAGATTTAGTCCGAGCGACCGGTTCCAGTAACAAAAACACACATGTCCAAACAGGGAACATGATTATCCTCAAGCTCTCAAATTGCATTGAAGAGCGTTTACATTATAGAAAACTTGAAATTTAGTCAAGTAAAAGTTTTGATGGTAACAATATTGCTACGCTAGTCGTGAGTTGAACCGGAGTTGAAATTGACGGGAAAGTTGAGCTTGAGACACCATATGTCTTTAAATTGATCTGTAAGTCAACATTGAAAACAGAAGCTTAAGGGCTTGATCAAAAAAGAAAAAATATATATCAAACATCTAAGTGTTGCTTCCAAAGTTTGGTTTAAACGCGACGTTTCTTGGAGAAAAAAGTCTAAGCGGAAAGAAAGAAAAAATAATACTGGCGATTAAGCATGTAAAGCTCTTGATACTCTTGAATGACGGGTAAGCACGAGCATGAATTGTTATGATCCAAATGTTTTGTAAAAGGTGGTAGTTTGTTTTGATTGAGACCAAATGGATTTTTTTAGGCTGCTTAACAATCTTTTGACAATGACCGAAGAGTGTATGCTTATAATTCAGTTATTCGATTACCGTGTGTTGTGATTGAACTGTTACTTCAGGATTTCGTCCAAGAGTATCGCATCCTACTTCCGCACGGACGCAATTCCAATCGACAAGACGTGGAAAAGCTCTTATCTGACATCTTCCCAGATCCCAAATCTTTCCAACTGGGAAACAGCAAAGTGTATTTGAGGGAGAAGGGCCACATGCAACTGCAGTTTTTCATCGAACTGAAGCTGTCAATCAAGGTGCAGATGATTCAGCGCTGGTGGAGACAGATACTACCAGCAGTGCTGGACAAGAGACAACAAAAGGCAGCTGCTACGATTCAAAGGTCTTTCAACAAGTACAAACATACTATGAAAGAACGAGAGACGGAAAAGATGAATCAGTTATGTTTGGATTTTAACGGAGAGTCTGGCGATAAGTCGAGGCCTTTGAGGTCCTGCACGTTCTCGTCGCCAGAAGACGAAGAACCGGGCAAGCGGGGCTCAACTCGCAGTTCGGATGAACGGAAGCCAATTAAACACAAGGAGACAAAAGATAAACGCAAGAGTGCAGACGACAGCAAGACACAAAAGGCACCAAAAAGAACACTGCATTTGCCAAACTGGAGCACAAAGTCATGGTTTTCTGGAAGTTCAGAAGCACTAGAGTAAGTAAAGTCTGGTCTTAATCGAGAAACTGAAGCATAATTGGAGGCTAATTTTTGTTAGTCTATTTTCAGTAGTGAATCAGGGCGTTCCAAGAAGAATGTCAACTTTTCTCGTGAAAACAGACCAAAGCCTATCAGGTAAGATTTTCGAACTTGGTCTATATTAGAGAAATCAGAAAAATAACTTTTTTAAAAAAAAATTAAAAATTTTGTTCATCTTACATATATTTTTTTGCCCGTGGTTTGAAGTTCGTTTGATATGGTTCTCGACTTGACTTTTCATTTCTTTTAAGTTTACTTTCCAAGTTATATAACAGATGGAAGAAAATTTGAGGTCTTCACTAACAACACAGAAATTGGCGCGAAAAAATACTTTCAATTTTTCAATTTAAAATAGTTTCTAGGTGAATATAATTTTAAAAAAAATTGTTGGTTAGGTTTGTTTCAAAGTCTCGTTTTTTGGTTGAAAACCGTTGTCTCGCGAATTTTTTTGCGCAGTTTTGAGTTATTGTAAGAGGGTTTGTAGGTGATCGATTGTGTTATCGTACTTAAGCCCTTTCGGTCTTGATTTGGATTGCAGAAAGATATCTCAGTTAGGTCAATTGATCTGATTAGTTCCAAGTTTCGAAAGTAGATGTTAATTTTCAGATTCAGCGGAATATAAAACTTAGCGTTTGATCTAGTTTTCTGAAATAGGTTTAATTCATCAAAACATTGTCAATCATAAGTTTTTTTGAAATTCAAAGAGCTCTAAGGTAAATATTATTTCTTTGAACTTCGAAAGTTTTTTTATTTTAGAAAAACAAGTCAGTATTTTTCTGTTTTCTTGCGGTCATGCTGATTGAATAAAAAAACTAAAATTATACCAACTCTGAATTGGTAAACTTAGAATCAATATTTATACTCAAACAAGGATAGCCGGTTGCGTTGAAAGTAGCACAGAATGTTCCGACCACATTCATAAAAATAGAAGAAAGTTTTTTCTACGTTTCTTCAAATTAGTGTCATTTTAGTTCGTGTTGTGATTTTAGATCTCTCTAACCGCTTAGAAAATAAGTGAATTAGGCATGATCGACATTATTTATCTTTAAAAAATGAAAACCTAAGAAAAAAAGTTTTGAAAAAAGGCTTGTTTTTAAAAATAATTTTTGCACGATAAAATTTTCATGAATTTTTTCTGCCAATTTAGCGCTTAATAAAACATCAAAAACTAGTTTTGTCTATAGTAAAGTTAAGTGTTTTTAGCCTAAAAGTCTGAAGTTCTTAAAAGGAAATATCCATATAACTAGCGTTACTCGAAATAAAATTTTATCTCAAAGTATTCAAACCAGTTTTTCTCGAAACTGAAATTAAAAAAAAAAACATTAAATGACGGGTGAAAGGCCTTCATCATGATATATCACTCAAACCTATTCCGATGGTTATTTTTGGTACCTGGTTTTCTGTGGAAAACGAAAAAAAAAGAAACTCAAATGAATACACAGCTCCTCTTCATTTTCAAATGGTCGGAAGAAAAACTTATGATAGAACGGATTTTTAAATGCAGATAAAATTTAAATATCATTATTATCCAATTTTTTTCCCAAAATATTGGTGCAAATTTACCAACTCCGGTTCGGTTTAGTTTGGTTTTTTATTTATTCGACTTGAAATGTTTGGGGTTATAATATATCGGATGTGGATGCTTATATGGCGTTGTTTCATGGGCAAAAAAAGTGTTTTATGCGCACGCGTGTGTGTGTTCGTTTGTTCGAGGGGAGGACTAAGTTTTTTAAGAAAACGATTTTCTCGACTCAGCGCGTGTCTTGTCAAGTATTGTCAGCTTTGTCACCGCTTTTTAAGTGTTGTTCCGAGGATAATTTTACAATCCGTTGTCTCATGTGACTTGTTTGCCTCAAATTGAACTTTTTCAAGACAAATCGAGATGAACAAATGAAAATTTTGATAGCAAGTTGTGATATCTTGATGTCTTCGTTTTGATATCATGGTCTTTGTTGGGGGGGGGGGGGGGGGTTATAATAACCCAAATTTAGTAACCATTTCGTGGTCAGAACGCCTTTAAAATTTTTACTCCGAAAGATGCTTCAAAAATGTCAGTCTATGTTTTATTTTTGTCTGTTTAGACATCATTCACCCGCAAAGCCTTCACCCGAACCACACGTAACGCCCACACGTAACACAATTGCTGCATCATCACCCGCCGCCTCCAGATTACGTTAGTTCTTTTCACAAGTGAAAACAAGTGGCTCAAATCAGTACAGCGAAATTAAAGATACGCTTTTATGACGCGCCAATCTGCATTTTATTGCCAGATATCTGAGCGCATTATTTCTTCCAATCTCGGTCTGATTTTTGGCAACTGTTCTTTGATTGCGAACTATTTAAATTGTTGCTTGCTGAACGTGGGCTTGTTGTATAGTTGATGAAAGTCTCTTTTAAATTGTCAATGGTGGCATTTTGGATAAATTGGGTTGAACTCCGTTGGCTGTGTTTCCTTCTATTGCGTTTTGTTTTGTGTTCATGAGATTAGCAACTTTTCAAATACGTAATTGCGTTTTTTCTCGGAAGAAAATTGATTTGTGAAATATCAACAGCTCCTTTATTTTCGCTTCATTAGTTGTCTAAGAACAGTCGCAGTTCACCTAAGTTGACGGGAGGAGCTTAATAAATAATCATTGAGTTTTCCTCCTTGTCAATAGTACACTTTCCGCGGCTTCCTATTTGTTGTTTGAAACTAGAAAATGCGGAAATGAACATTTGGTCGGGTAAAAAGAACCAATGAAAAGAGAGAATAACTGAATTGTGGATGAAATATATTAGAGATAATGAGGTATAGCGAACAGAACAGTCTGAAGTCAGTTTCATCAATTTCAGTTTGTGATTTATTCACCTCTTTCAATCCGAATGTGTTTGGCGAGCCTTATGCTTTCTTAGTCAAACGAACCGATTGAAAATCATACTTGTTAATAAACAAAGATTCGAGAAGATTTTAGTACTGCAAATTCTTTGTTGTTTCATTGCTTAAGTTGTGCAAAGGACTAATTTGCAAAATTTTCCAAAATTTCCGAGAAATTCATTGCAAATTGACGTCATAGTTAGCTAGACACATCATAACTTCTTTTCATATCTCAGACGTCAGTAACAAAATTAGTTACCTTTGCAATAATGGTGGCAGAAAGTGCGCGTTGTTATTCGTGCTCGTGCGATTTTTCAGTGTCATCGCCTAGCTACCAAATGTGTCAAAAGTGTCACACTAAGACTCCCGTCGCACCAGATGGAGGTGACGTCACAATCATCACATGCACTAGTTAGTACTCTTCTCATCTCCACGTCTGAAATCATTTTCTCATTCTTATTTGAATCATCTAGTCTGAATAAGTTGAATAGAGAAGAGACTATTTAGATCAAAGTAGTCTAAAGCTTTTTGTAAGACATCTAATTAGTAACTAGTTTAGCTGATAGTTATATATTCAGGAAAAGTATGCTTGTAGTGCATTTATTGGTTTCATAACTATTCAATTTTTTAAAATCTTCTATTTCGGTTCTCATGCTTTTTTGTGCATTGTGATTGTGAGTTTGTTTGTTTGTTCTAGAATGTTCGTCACCGGCGGTAGCAAAGGGCAAGCAAGTGGGGGTGACACCTTCACAGTCAGAGTTTGAGACCATCTGCAAAACAGTTCTGCCGGCCGACAAGCTTTACAAAGTGCTCCTTAAAGACACAAAAGAAGTCAACAGATTCACGCAGTTCCTGAATACAAATGTAAGTCCAATGTGATGATAGTTCAAATTTCACTCAAGTAGTTTTGTTATACCAAATTGATAAACTAATCATAATTGGTATTACTAAAAGTCGGTGAACGTAGTTCAGACTTTTATATAGGTCGATGATGTTTTTTTTTACTTTTTCATTTTTTTTTTCAGGAAAAGTCTCAAAATTTGTTCAAGTTTTTTCTCCCTAAAAGGCCAGTTTTCAAGGATGATTTTGGAGAACATTGTGCAAATGATAAACCCAGTGCAAATGATCAAAGCTGCCCTCTATGAAATGTACTGGAGTTGGTTTCTAAGATTTTTTTTAGTTTCTGAAAGGGCCAGTTATCACTACCTGAAAAGGTTGTTCAAAGCGCGTGAAATTGTAAGAAATAGCTGAGTTTAATAATTTTCAAATATCGCTTAGAATGTTTCACATTGCGTGAACATTTTTTTGGCTCCGCTTAGTCGAGAAAGAGTTAGCTCCGATGCAACACTTGTCAAGTTTTCACTATCTGCCTTAAGTGTTCCATCGGAGTGAACTTCTTCTCGAATAAGCGGAGCCAAAAAAATGTTCATGCAATGTGATACTTTCTAAGCGATTTTATTTAATTGTTCAGTATGATAACTTTATTAGTCTCTGCTGTTTATTACAATTTTGCGCTTTGAACAACTTATTTCAGATGATGTAAACAGGCCTTTTCTGATACTAAAAGAAACAATTTGGTAAATCATAGCAACCAAATTGTTTCTTTTAGTAGGGCAGCTCTGATCATTTGCACTGGGTCTAAATAAAAAATAACGTGGATTTAGCTTTGAATGTTGTCCAAAATTATCCTTTAAAACAGCCGTTTTAGGGAGAAAAAACCAGTTTTCACTATCTGCACTTTTTCATAAACGGAAAAAACTGGTAAGCCTTTGAAATCAAATATTGCTAGTTTCACAGAGGCTAGCTCTGACTATTTGTGCTTGGCTTATGAAAAGATGGTTTATTTGAAGTTTTTTAGTAATAATAGGCGTTGACAAAAACCTGAATTTGCGTTTAAGTTTTTTCCACTATAAGTACTTTCCTGTAATTTCCAAAGTTAAATTAGTTTTCAGATTTCTCTGCGAAATATATAATTTACTCATTGATCCAGTTTTCAAATTGGTTTAATGTTATCTAAAAAGTAGCAATCATAAATTGTTCTTGAGCTCTAAGGCCATTTATTTTTTTCTTTGAATTTCGAAAGTTGACGTTTAAAAGAAAACAAGTCAGTTCTTTTATTTGTTTCCTTGCGTCCATCACTTTTTTTCAATTCTCTGTTTGCTATTTTTTTTGTTTTCTATTTATACGATTTGAGAGTCTTATGCTATATCTGATTAGTAGTGGCCTGTTGTGCCGGAAAAAGATTTAATAAACTTGAAAACAAAAACTAAGTCCTCACCTCAACACCCATATAGGCATAAAAAATTTGTTTTTCTCATCAAACCACGCAATATGAGGCTAATATCTACATGGAAAAGTCATCATAAATGATTTTTGAATTTCAGTCTGCTTAAATGTGACGTACTTTTACCCACGAAATCCTTTTTGAAAAAATCAACTTGTTTTTTCGGTTTCTTTGATCTCAATAATATTTTCTACTGTCTGCAGTCTTCAAGAATTTTTGAATATTGAAAAATTCATTTATTAGTTGATATTATCGGGGACACCAATGGTCTCTGGAATATTTTTTTCCTCGTTATATAGATTTTTATTGGAAGTTTTTTAGTAATAAAAATAAAATCTATCAAGTTCACAAATTGGTAGCATGCGACTTCGCACATCGAAATGGTCGCGCAATTAAAGAGTTGAGAAGCCACAAAATCGCAAACTTGAGTTGGCCTTCACACAACATCACATATTGGTAGAGCAAGGCAATGCTGACGTGAGAACAATTTTTTCGTTCATATCTTGTTCAAAACACCATTCAGATCTTGTTTTTTTTTCGAGAAAAAGCATGAAAAGTATCAGAATAATGTTTAAATGCTTGTGTGACTGTTTTTTTCTATCTATAATGTTATTTGAAATGTTCTTTAAAAACGTTTTTCTCTAATTGAATTAAGGATTCAACCGTATAATCTTGCCCCTAGCCATGAATTAATATGAAAATGAATTCCGTTTAATATGTATGTTTACTTTGAAGTCTATTTTTATATTTACTGTTAATCATGTTACATCAGCGCGTTAACTGGATTAATTTAGGCTAAGCTTAACATTAATTTCCCAGAAGCAGTATTCCCCCCCATGTTGAAAAAATGGTACTTAGGCGGTGGCGTAATTGTTGATCAAAGAAGTGAATCACTTCCTTAACTTCTTATATTTGTATGCAGAAAAAGGAACAGAAGAAAAAAAGAACATTGTATGCAGAAAAATAATAAAAGTCATTTTTGTTCGCAGGCGGAACATTTTGGTTACGGAAGTTAAACTTGAACAGGGCATTTTAATTAGGAATTTAATTAATGATGGTTTAAGAAAAAGGAATGTTTTTTACGGTAGCTATAAATCTCTGTCAGTTCGAAAATGTCTCATCTGAACTATATAAAACACCGATGAAGTTTCCTCGTTTTTCTATTTTAGATGAAGAAACTGAGTCTAAATGATACGAATGATCTTCTCAGAACTCTGTCCTCTCTCAAAATTGATCTCCTGATGCAATGTGGACAACAGGTATGTGTTGGTCGTGTTTTTTTCTTACCTCTGTTTTTTTCTTACCTCTGGTCGTGTTTTTTTTTCTCAGCTCTCAAATAGTAGACATACCTCATGAGTTCGGATCCTAATGAAAGAAAAGAAGTATCAGCCAATATGGATGAGTTGGTGAAATACCTGGAAGCATATCAGGCTATTTTAACTCACATTTCTAAAATGGTTTGAAGCTTTTTGCCATTCGGTACGTTTGGTAATCGCTTTCCTCGGCTTCAATGTTTTCGGATCATGTTTTTTTATAGCCTAGTCGCCTTCTATTGCGGCGTTTAAGGGGGAAAGCAATTTTGATGGCCTGAGTTTCAGGAGGGGGTATAAACTTCAAGTTATGAAATTTTATAGCTCAATTTTTTTGACAATAGTTTTGTTTTCGACTCAACAGGCGTCCCATGTATTGTTGGGTTGGATTAGATGCCGCTCGTTGAATCTTTCTGAATGGTTTGTAACGATGTAGATTGTGTTTCTTGATATGGTTTCCTCGAATTGAACCTCATTCGAGACAAACATGAATTTGTTGTAGATGTAGTTTTTTTCGACATCCAAAAAAGTTTCACTTGACGGTTTTCGTCTAATTTTCTTTCGGCTAGTTGCCCTGCTAGCTTGTGTTGTATCGTAAGTGGTGCGAAACTGCGCTTTGCCTCTCTGACAAAAATGGTAATCAAAGACTATTTCTATTTTTATTTGTTTCGTTTCATTCAATTTGTTTTTGTAAGCTAAGTATTCCAGTTTGTTTTAGTTGTTTCCAAATTATTGAAAATACTAAACTCTTTGCCAGAAACAGAGTGTGCTTGATTGCCAACAGCTGTTTAATTAGCTTGTTCCACCGCTTGTTGTTGTTGGATCTTGTCTTCCTCGTCCTCATTGGCTCGCTGCGGCGGCGGCGGCTAGATTCGATAATTCTCTCCCCTCGAATAATTGCTCCAAATTTCGGATTTATCATTTTGCTAGTCTGCTGTCGTCTTTTCTTCTTTGCTGTCGTTTCGCGACTGTTGTGATGCCGTTTCAACTGTTGCATTTCGACTTATTTGGTGGCTGTATTGCCGTCGAATCGCTGGTCACTGAAGTAGATTTTATTCAGCTCTGTTACTTTAGAAAGTTTTTTGCTGTTTTGGTTTGGTAGTAGTGTTTTGGCTGCCAGGAAGTTCAATCTGATTACAGCCTTGTCTCTCTGATTATCTTTGCGGCGCACTCGTTGATTTCTTCAGGAGGTGTTATTTCTTGGCGTGCATTTGGATCGGTCAGTAAGGTCCTCAAAATTCGAGTCCACTTGTAACGATCGTATTTCTCTCGATAGAGGGATTTTAAAACGCTGTTTATAACTTGAGTCCTTGGGATATCAAACAGCTTCGTGGTAGAAGTGTCTCCTTCTCACTCTTCAACGTTCGCTTTCGGCTCTTCTGTGGACACTCCGATGTGGATGCCTCGGCCTCATCGATCGGTTCCTTTGTTACCTGTGTTTGTGTGCATTTTCATTTCAATTCGTCTTTTTTTCCGATGGCCGATTTTTTTTTGAACCAGCGATCTTCCGATGGGTTGATGCTGGCGCTGCTTGCGTGGATTTTTTTTTATTTCGATTAATTCTTTTTCATTTTGATGGTTTATTGTCTTGAAAGTTTTTTTGAGGTCCCTGAGCTTATTTGTTATTGCTTGTAGTTGCGTAATACTGCTTCGCCGATGTGTCAAAAGAATGAGCTGTATCCGCTTAATTAACTTGCTTATGGCGTCTCAGGTCGATCCACCGGCTTCGGGTGTTTTTTTTCAACGCTCACTTCGATTGTGAAGATGTTGTAATTTGATAAAGGTGCTTCCTGTTTATTTACATTTTTTCACTAAGTTTTGGGTTTTTGTGATGAAAGCGAATCAGTTTCGAGTCTTTTTATATAACTCAAAATAGGTAGAATCTAAAGCATTCCGTTCTTTGAATTACACATAATTATCTTTGGATGAAATTGCTGCGGGAAGGAAAAATTGAACTGATTTTGGTGAACTAAAATAGATAGAGGGTATAATTAATCAAAAGAAACTTATGAATAGAAATATTTCTCAGGGAGAAATTAGTGGGGATAAATTTGGTTATTCTTTTGATTATTTTTTGATTAAACATTGTTATGCTTTTCTTTCATTGAACATGGAGTATCCAATCCGAATTGTCTTGACACGGTTTCATATTTTGTATTAAACCAAGACTTGTTTGGTAACCTTTCCTGCGCAGAACTAATTTATCCTTGTTTCAGACCGGTCGCTCCTTTCGGCCGATTAAGTACTTGCAATTAGTGAAGATGTTCATGGAAAACTACGACAAAGTCACGAAGAATAGAGTGAGGTCCACTCCGAGCAGAGGTGGGACAGTGCTCGATGCGAAGCACGAGAAAGATGCACTCTCCAAAGCCTTCCTCGTGCGAACTTTCGTAGGGATCCTCAACCTCTTTGACAAAAACCAGGTTTGTCAGTTTAAATTATGTGTTCCGAAAATAAAAACCTCATTCTTGCAATATTTTGGGTAAATTATTTTCTCCAACCATTTAAAATTTTAGAAAAATATTAAAACTTTGAAAAAAGCCAAAAAAATCTTTAGTTTTGGCAAAATATCTTACGTATAAATGGGAAAATGTTAAATTTATGTAAACTTTAAAATGCAAATATAAAATTTATAGGGTGGTTGAAAAGAAAGTGATAATTTGCATCTTTTTGATTGACAGAAAGTGGAGGTGGATTACATTCCGAAGCGGAAGCGGACCAAGAAGTCGATGCGGATGCGGGAGATCAAAGGCCATCAGCTGCTAGAGAAGCCACACTCACCACAATACACGTGTCCCTGTGGAAAGAAGAAAATCGACGACTTCGTCTCCTGTTCATGTGAGCATATGCCCTCCTTAAACACTCAATTGTTGTCGTTTTTTGTAGTTTCGTAGATTTTCAATGTTTAAATTTCGTCTGCTGCAAATTTTTTGTTTGAATTTTCATTTGTTTTTCGTGTATCTATTGTGAAATGTGTTTTCATATTCGCCTTTGAGTGGAATGTTAGAATTGAGGAGACTGTTTCGTTTCAGTGTGCAAGGTGACAATTCACAAAATGTGTGAAGGACTTCTGACTGAGTGCAAAGTGGCACAGGCCTCCCAGGACTTCCCGAAGTCCAAGTTCATCAAAGTGCCCCTGGAAGTGCTGTACAAACGGGAGGAGAACCAAGTGCCCTCGAAACTCCTCGACCTCCTGGGCTACATCGAGGAAAACGGACTGAATAAAGAGGGCATATACAGAACGAATGGGTCCCAGATGGAGAAGAAACGTCTGATAGCAGCCCTGGATTCGGAAGAGTACGCCAAAGAGGCTCTGGATGATTTTGACGTGCGGACAGCGGCTGATGTTGTGAAGGTACCTTTTTTATAATAGTTTTATAAAGATAATATAATAAACTTGATCGGTTTTGTAAATAAGAACTAATTTAATGATAATTGCAGCTGCATAAAAAATCTGCGGAATCTTGTCCTTGATATTATAAATTTTCGAATGCAGAAGATTTAATAATTGCGTGATATTAAGATATTTCCGTAATGATAACTTGGTAAAAGCTCTTGAAATTTATTTAAAGATTTTATTACTCTTGGAAGGCAGATAACAAGTCCTTGTTTCGAGGTCAAACGAATTTAATTGTCAATTATATACGAGTTCGGACCCTGATAAAATGGAGAATATATTAAAAGCTTTTATGACACTTAGAAGGCAGATAACCAATCCTTTTTTGAAAGATCAATGAGTTTAAGTGGTAATTATATAAGAGTTTGGAACTTCAGTGACGAAAATATCTCATTCGATTGACCGACTGAAGAGTTGTATAGATTGATCGCATAGAGTTTGACGTAGGATGAAGTATCGTGACTGTAATGAAGGTGTTGATTGTAATGGGGTTGTTTTGAAGGTGTTCTTCCGTTCGCTGCCAGATCCACTGTTCACCTACGCAGCCTATCAGAGATTCATGATGGCTATGGACCCTGAAAGCGAAGAGGAGAAAGTGCGGCTCATTTTCCAACACATATCCAAACTGCCATCCGCCCATTTCGACACACTACACGCCACAGTCGTGCATCTGCTCAAGTTGGTCAAATTAAAATTGTTAACTCAAATTAAATTTTCTAGCAAAAGTTCGCCGATAGCAAATCTATCAATAACTGGCCTATATTGTTCATAATTGTAATCAGCGAGCAGAATTTTTGGTTATCTAGGTCAATTTATTTTTGTTTTGTTTTTCTGATAAAAGTGAAACTTAGTTCGCGTTCGCTCCTTGAGCAGTTTTCGCTGTTCGACTTTCGACGTCTTAAAAATTCCTAAAGTTCACTTAAAAATAAATAAATGACTTAGTTCTAATTAGTAATCTCACTCTCCCCCCCCCTCCCGCCTCCTGATGTGAGAAAAAGGAGGAGGTTCTTAATAAGATAACTGAGAAGCACTAAATAGCAACAGGGGTAGTTTAGATACTACACTTAGGAGTAGGTAAAAGAAGAATAGATAATGTCTAATTTAAACTCAAAACTGAAGTCTACTTCAATGAATCGCTAGCAGCAAAAAGTTCATCTACTGCTCCATTTTTTTTTCAATATAGTTGGAGTTTATCTTGTGTTACTCAATTACTTTTTCAAAAAAATGCTGTAAGGTGATGTAATCAGCTCGATAATTTTTCACCTTGAGTGTTTGATTTATTTTTCATTTCGATTCTCTGCTCGCTATGCTTTAAATTATTTCACAGATTGCTTAATATGTGATGGTTGAACTTTTGGCAGAGTTTAACGGAACGAGAGAGCAAAGGTCAAACATAATTTATTCTTACAAAACGGTCAAATATTATTTTAGATCACGACAAGTCCCAGATATGCTTTTATAGGAATAACACTTTTGATTAATTTAACAGAGTTCATTGTTTACTTTATAATCTAGCAAATATTTGAAGTGATGCGTGGCTTTGACGTATGAGGCCTGTTATTAATATGATATCATGCTTCATACGTCATTAAGACCTGCATATAATACAAAAACTCGCTGGCATTGTAAAGAGAGTATAATACCATATTTCTAAAGCGAAACTGAAGGCCCGGGTTCAAAAAGGGGTCATGATTTTTCCAAATATCTTTAATAGTTTTTAAGTAGCTCATTATGGGAAAAGCAAGTTCTGATTAAAATGTAGTTGAAATTTGCAACATCAAAACTGTCTCGAGTCGCGGAGTCGCATTCAAATAAATTCTGCCCACTACAGAGCTTTGTATCAAGCATCTGATTAAAAAAACTCGAAACTATTATTTTGGTCCAAGAATCGTCTTCTTGCGATGAACTGTGTTAAATGGGCCTTGTATTTGTACAGTACTGGTACTGTACTCTACACAAAATGAATAGATTTTTTTAACCTTTGAGAACGTTTGGAAATTAGAATTCTCAAAAAGTGGAAAGCTCTAAATTGCAACAGATGTTGCATTCAACAAGAATTGAAAATGAATTTTGAGAAACAAATTTCTGTCTTGAATGCACGACAAAAAGTGCTGTTTTTATGTAAATTAGATATTCATGGTAGCAGTAAACTGTTTAAGATATATCTCGACTTGTGATAATTTCAACTAATTTTTGAAAAGTTGTGACTGGATTGATTTGTCTGCGTTTTGGACAATTTTGTCTGGAAATATGCATTGTTTTATAAAGTGAGTGGTGTTCTGCAGCGTAATTTTTGTCATTTCAGAGTGAGTGACAAGAGCGAACACAACAAGATGACTGTTAGCAATATGGCAACAGTCTTCGCGGAGAACCTGATTTTCACAGACACTGTCAACATCCAGGCAGGAGCCGCAATCCTCAGCACCATTCAAAAGAAAACTCATCTCCTTGTGCTCATTCTAGAACGCATCGCCAAACGAGTCAACCACAGTCTAAGTTGCATCGAGGATCTGGACAATGCACTGGCAGTCATTGACGCCAAATTGTCTGTGATCCAGGGCGAAGACGACGAAAGCGAAGATGCTGAGAATGTAAAGAGAAACCTGTCAATGGTGCTAGACTTGCAACTGAGCAAAGATGTGGAAAATCATCTCAACGTAAGTCGATGTTGTTGAGTCTTCATTCATTAAGTCTTTAGAGGGAGGTGATCGTGGATACTCCTCTGCGGAAGGGTCCGACCGTCTCCTCATTAAAAGGGGGTCTCTCTTTGATACTTTTTTTCAGCATCTATTTTTGGCGGTTAACCCTTCAGCTGTTCCAAAGGCGGCTCATTCGCCTATAAATACTAATTTTGAAGGGGAGTGAGCCCACAAAAAATGTGACATTTCGGTTAAAACAATCCAAATTAAATAGTTTTAACCAATTTTAAAGCGTTCCTGAGCTGAGAAAATCAAGAAAATTGGTTAGGCATTTTTTCAAATTATTTTTTTTATTGTGCTGACTTCTTTCATTTTCAGAAAATCGATTTAGTTCAAATAATGTTATGGAAGAATAAAACTCTCTCTCGTGACTGAAAGGGCGATGGTGATGACCTAATTAATCCGCCATATATGATAGTCGATTATTTTTCACTCGCAGCGACGGACTATTTATCACATGGAAATAAAACCAAATAAGGAAGGGAATTGAGTTGAAGTATGAAATAAATAAGGCAATGCTTTTAATTAGATAATATTTCAGCCCGAAGAGATGCGTCTGAAGTCGGGTACCATACCATTTTCACAAGCAGATCAAAACATTTTAAAAGAACAGCAGTCGAATGACACGAATGTGCCGAGAGACGAGTTCCTCGCCCCCGTGCATCACAGCGACGCCAGTGTGCTAATGGAACAGCGGAAGCTAACTATAAAAATCAGGTATGTCCAGTCAGATTCGCTTTGAGTATTTTTAGACCTGCGTACGAAATAATTAAAATCGAAGTAGCTTTAAATTAAGTTCGAAAAGGGAATTGCTCTTTAATCTTTAGAAGCTTAACGGGCAATTCGCGAAATGAGTAATCAAGCTGAATTTAATTCATTGATTAGCCGAAATTATTTATTAGCTTCGTCTTATACTCTGCGGTACTCGATTTGCGGGGTCCAAAATTACCGGATGGTTGGACATTTTTGGACAAAAAAGCGTTTTTTATTGCTGGGGAGGGGAGTGGGTTCAATTCTTGTCAATGTTATGCCAAAATTGAACCTAAATTTTTTTAGCATTACAATAGGCAAAAAATTTATATATATTGTAATATAATATAGTAATATATTGCAGATTATAATTGTTTTTTTTTGCCTTTTATTATTTGCAGCGCCTAACACGGTGTGTTTTTCTGAAACGCTGGGTATAAGATTATGAGTTTATGGTATAATGGTGGTGAAGTCCTGTTAGTCAACCCCCCCACCCCAGTTTAAAGGGAGCTCGGGGTCTTTGAAGAAGTGAATTCCTGCCACGACTATGAATTAGCGCAGTGTAGCTACTTCTATGACGTATTTATGATTGACATTTGATTCCTTTTAAATTGATTGCTGCTTTTACTTTAATTTACTGCATTTACTTCTGAAGCATTCATTCAGGAAGAAAAAGATATGACCTAAAACATCTGAGAAAGCACATTTTCATGTTTAAGTGTTAATGAAGGCAGCGATGAACTTATTTTATGGAACGCAGTCGGCTTTTTAAAGTTTCAACAATTTTTCAAGATTTTGTAATATTGCAGAATTTGAAATATGGTAAAACTTAAAACAAGAACTTGTAGCGGAAAGAAAACAAGACTTCACATTGTAACAAATTCAGTTCACCATAGCAAAAAAATGGGTGATAATTTGTTACAACGAGACATTCGCAAGTAGCGACCACAAGTGGCGACTTTCAAAACCCTATCTAATGCGTGCCGCTGAACTTATTGTTTCGAATTGTCGCTTGTAACGAATTGTCACCTCACGCAAACAGTTTCCTACTCAATTGAAGTTTTCCTGGGGAGGAATCAGATTTTTTCTCAGAGTTATTTTAGTATGTTTGAAATGAAGAAAAATCCTTTGATTGCTTGTCGATTTCGTTAGCTCATAAGAAATCTCCGATGATCTGTTGACTAGGTTTCCGGCCGTGAATACTTTTGTATTGATCATTTTTTGGTTGTTATTTAGGGAAAGGCTTCTAAATAACATGACAGCATTGACTTACGACGGCGCAGATGCGATGCGTAACATGGGGGACGATGACGAGGACGGAGGCTATTTTGTTCACTCCTGCAGCGACAAAACACAGTCTCTTATGATTGTGGAACCCAGAAACCCAAAATACCGAACCACAACAGATACATCACACTTGGAACCGACTACGGATTCTGAGACAAACGAAAGGGGACGTCACAATAGTCGGTCGGATGGATCTGTCAGTGATTCGAGCGACATTGCAGACGAATATTCATACAGTATGTTTTCCAGGTCTACTTACGATAATGACTCATATATGAGATATCAGAGACTAATGTCATCTGTAGAAGACCAATACAGTACACTTGGTCCAATTTCACCCCAGCCATTCAGTTTATTCTGTATACCACATCATCATTCTAACCATTCTCAGCGGGAACATTTTAGAAGAGTTTTAAGATCCTGTTTAAACTCTGTCGTTGGTCTGGTCAAAGGTGGCAAGTTGGGGCGCCGCCAGACACTTTACTAATTCTGAAATCTAAATTTTTGCTCTACCTCCTTACGTAACTCCTAAAATGTAGATCTGAATGTATATTTTGCAATTTAATCATTGAGCTGGAAAATAGTTGAATTGTATATTGAGAGCGCTTCCTCTTGAATCTGACTTTGGTTTGGTTTGATTTCATCATCTTTCTCTTCAAAACAATAACTTAATCAACACTGAATAACAAACAGTTGTATCGAAGCCTTGGCTTTCAGTTGGTCACACGATAGCTCTATTAACCAAAAATTTGAATTTTTTGTTCTTTTTTTAATCGGTTTCGTCCCACAAATTGGTTGATAATGATGAGAAGTAAGTTGTTTATTAGAAGAGTGAAGAATCTTTGTGTTTTAGAGTTATCGTGGAGGCTAACAGAGTCATGTGAACCAAGTGCTTCGATCACGGGTTCATTTTCAAACCGTCCTTTCCCTAAAATACATACGAGTCACCGAGACTACCCTGATGCCGATAGCAACCCAGGTTCAAATCCCACGGAAGGCGAAAGTAATTTAGACTTTATTCCCAACATGCTATACAATCAATTGTTTCACACTCAATCGCCTGAAAGCGACAGAAGTGCACAGTCTGCGTCCTCCCGGTCTTCATTTCAAATTTGATCGCCACCTGACAGATGTCTTTAAGATAATCTAATGTGTAGATATTTGAACTGAAACGGATCAATGACACTCAAAATGATTCCGTCCTCATTCCAATTGATTAACCCTTACGGTAAAAAAAATCTGAGCAGTCTTTATTTTTGATGTTAGATGGATAGTTTATTAAGATGATAATTGTTGTGGTGAAACTTAGTTTCATTTCTATAGGAAAAATTTATGAAATAAATCAAATTAGATTCAAGAGGAATTCTTCCTTCGTGTCTCATTTTCAGAAGATGCTAACAAATTTCAATTATTTTCGTTACTTCAGTTATTTAATTAAAGACATTTGATTAATTATCTTTTCTCCTGAAGTAAAGAAATTATTCTCTATTTATAGCTCTTTGAAAAGATTCAATAGCCCAGCATAGATATTGTTTCTGAGGTCTTAAATCATTGGTAATTGAATTGATACAAAATTGCTCCCTTCAAAGCTAAAAATTTATTGTTCCGACCATCAAAAATGGGGAGGAACTTGGTATTCGGGCGTGTTTTAGGTTTTTTATATTTGTTTTTTTACGCAAAATTAGGAGCCACAAATAATCATCAGAATAGGTTGAGTGGTATATCAAATTAAAGTTCTTTCAGTCGTAATTTGAAAGACAGCTTAAAAATGTAGGTTTGTGTAGTTCTGGATCACATCACGCAAAAGAAGACACTAATTTGAAGAAAAAAGAAAAACGTTTTTTTTTTTGTAATTATGAATGTGGTTGCAATTGTGAATGTGGTCGGCACAGCAAACGGCTATCCTTCTTTTCAATTGTTAATCAACTGAGTTAGTTTTCTTTTAAATAGATTGCGCGGTTTTGTTCATTTCGGCAAAAAAAAATTTTTTTTTGTGGTTTTTGATTTATTTCTAAGTTTATTTGAATTTTTTTCACTCTTCAATAACCAAAGAGCTAAATAACGTAAATCGTTTTTGGTCTCGAATGTGAATCTTTGTATTTTGACTTTCTTGCGGAATAAAGTTTTTTTCCAGTTTTCTAAAATTGGCTTATTTTCATGAAAAAATGGCAATCATGGAAGTTTATGGATATCAGATTTTTTTTTTGGATCATATGTTTGTTATTCGTGCGTCAACAAGTGCCGTCTAGCTGGCAAATAGACTTTTTCCTCTTAGATAAGTTTTCCTACAAATGTGAAGATGACGTTAGAGTTATATTTTTAATGCTAATTTCGTGTTATTTTGGTTGAAAACCAGCTCCGACTTTTTCTTGCGAGAGCAAGTGACTTGTAATCGGGAACTAGACTTCTTTCCCATAAACAACTTTTCTCCCAAAAAATCTTGCAGTTACTTGCAAGTATAGGCTGCGCTGACATGCTCAGTTTCACTAAACTTTCTTGAAAATTCAAATACTACTTTTTAGTTCAATTGGGGTACTAATTATTTTTCTTGAACATAATTATTCAAAAGCAAGTTTTTGTGGTTTTCGTCCTAGTTTTCCGTTTTTTTTTCAAATGCAACTTTTGCTGGGGTTTTTTAACTTTTGATTCAAAAAGTTCTCACTATTATTGAAAGTTGCTCTGTAGATATTTTTCTACTCCTTTTTCTAATATTTATATTGTTTTTTTTCTCGGCTCAACGTGCTAGACGTATGGTATGTCGGCTTATTACACTTATTTTTCGCAGTTTCAGAGGCAATTATTAAAAAAATGATTTTTCCTGTTTCAGGAGAGATAGGTTAATAAAATTTTCTTTTAAAAGTTTTGTAGCTTGGATATTTTTATGTGTACAGTTTTGTTTTCGAGGGTCAACCCCGGTGTTTGCCCTAGTTGAAGCTCGTTGATTGTTTCTCAGCGCTTGTTAAGGCTATTTACAAACATCATCCGAGACCAAGGTATTAAATTTTTGTATGTAGTTTTATCGACTTTCTTGTCTTCTATTTAATATCTTGTAATGCAAGGTTTTAATTGTACCGCAAGTATTTACTTATGAGAGGAATGTCTTGTAATCAGGAACTAGACTTTTTTCACGAAAATAACTACTTAATTTTTTCAGGTGAAAATTGAATAGTCGGACTTGCGTTTGTCTTCTCAAGTTTGTCGGCTTAGTTGCCACATCGCGGATTTTTCTTCTGCTGTAAGCAATTTTCAATATAGTTGCAAGTGTTTGTCAATGCAGTTTCACGGATGGTTTTAGACTTCTTCGCAAAATCATTTTTTGGCTAATCTGATGCCTGCTCAAAGATTTTCAGCTTTGTTTTCGCTTCGTAAGTTGTGTTCCATTGCTAATTTAATAATCAAATGTCTTGCTTGGCATCATTTTTTTTATCGAGACATACGAAATATTGAGAGCATCTTGGTTTTTATCAATATTTTTCAATTTTGTCTTTTTGTTTGTGTTGTATCGCAAGTGATTCGAATCTCCACTTGGCCACTTTGAATAATTTTTTTGTGTCAACTGTTTCTTCATGTTCAAAGGTTTCCGGTAGTCTAATATTCTGATAGTAACCTCAAATGGTGTCATATGAAGGTTGATTATAATCTTCTAAATGTCGGTGAAGGCAGTGAAGACAGTTATATAGGTTGCGTTACTTTCTCGTTTTCGAGATAAGCCTTAAGTTTGTTCACGCCTTATTTGTTCTTTTGCGATTTGATTTTTTTGAACTATAATTCAAATTCTTTTTCTGAAAAAAAAAACAAATAACGGTCTACAATTACGAAAACTGAAACTTTTCTAGTATGGCTTAATTTTCTTAAGTTCTAAGGGTTGACTGTAAGTTGTTCTGAAAATTCAAAGAGCCATCAGGTATTTTTTTCTTTGAAAGTTGCTTTTTTGATAATTTCATTGACACTATTCCAACTGTTTGATATGTTCGTTCGTCTGTTTGCTAAGGCGCTTTGAAAAATTTGGAGCTCAAGTTTGTATGTGGGCACAACTGGTAAAGAGTAATGAACGTAGTCAGCATTGAAGAGTAATGAACTTAGTGAGTACTCTTATATAGGTCTTGAAGATTTTTTTGGTTTTTTAGGAAAAAGTCTTAAACTTTGTTCTCGCTAAATTTTGATTTTTTGCGGTTTGACTTTTGATTTTTTTTCAGTTCACTTCTTTTTTTGTTAAAAAGAAGGCAAACTTTACTATCGAACAGCACCATATAAAGGTCAAGAAAAACACGATCGATTTCTAATTTCGAGAATGGAAATTAATTATCAGATTTCCCAGCTTTACCTATTGATCCAATTTTCTCAAATTGAGTTAATTTAAACAAAAAAGTGTCCATCATAAATTGTTCTTCAAACTCAAAGAGCCTTACGGCCACTTTCAAAAAATGAAGGTTTTTTGAAAAAAAAGGTCCGTTTTTTTTCAGTTTTCTTGCGTTCATTACTCTTTTCCAACTGTCAGTTGGCTATATTCAAGTTTTGTCGGCTTAGTCACCAATTCATTGCGAAAGGGAGCTAGCGAGCGTATTGTAATTTATGAATGTTTTTCTAGCCCGACTATAAAAAGGGTAATGTAATTTATGAATGTTTTTCTAGCCCGACTATAAAAAGGGCTGATTTTGATGCAAAACTTGGGCGATTTAAAAGGAGGTGTTCGACACGCTTTTTTGGTAGCTAGTGTTCCATATTACAAGCGCACATGGCAAAGATAGAGGGTCTTACGGCTCGTAATCTCCAGGCCAGAGGTTCAGGCTGATGACAATTTTTCAGTGTACAAGAACGTAGTGATTTCACTCACGTAAGTCTAAATGATTTTTGTTTTCAGAAAATAGTCTGAAAATGCTCTAATAACTACAGAAGTGCATTCATACGTATTAATGCATGTATGAGTTCAATTCAAATTCATCTGCTAAAAGCTAGGTAGACTGCGCTCTCTAATTACGAATGCGAGAATGGGGCGAAAACAAAAAACGTGATCCACTGATTTAAATTTTATGATTTCACTTTGATCCAATTTGTTAAATTATTTTAATGTCATCAAAAACGCCGTTTCAATCTTAAAATGTTCTTGAAATTGAAAGAGCTTTAACCTGATTTTTTTTTCTTCAATGGTTAAAAAAAGTTCGAACGTTTCTTGTTATTTTACATTTTTCCAACCTTCTATTGGCTGTTTTTTTTTCAAAGCTTATTTTGGGCTCATTTTGTTGCCTTTTTGGCTCTAATTTTTGCTGTTTTCTAACTTTTATTCGCGAAGTTTAGGTTTGCCTCAAATTTCGTTTCAGTGCTTTTTTACCGCTAAGAATCGTCTCTCTGGGCATGTTTTCTTGGCCTCAAAATGAGTTTCCCTCTATTCGAGAAAAACGTATAAAAGTTCAAGAGACCTTGATGCTTCTCCGAGCATTTTTTCGACTAAGTCTTTCTTCTGTTTTTTTTCTGTCGAATAGCTCACCATGCTTTGTTTGAGGTTCATCGCAAATGATCAGAAGCTGTGCTTAAAACTGCTTCAAAAATTATGTTGTTTGACAATGCTTCAAAAAGTCTTTAGTTGAATAACACTTTTCCAACAGTCCGTTGGCTTAGTTTTTCCTTTTCTATGGAAGCTCTTTTCTCGTTTTTTTTTTGTAGGAGCTGTACTTACGTTCTCTAAAGTGAAAAGGGCGCTTGCTTCTGAGCTTCAAACAAGATTTATTTTAAGAATTTTCTGTGGAATTAAAATAACTAATTATTGGGTTTTCCCTAATCGGGTTAGTTTCATTTGATAAAGTGCCGAATATGCAAATGACCCGTATAATTCAAGTAGTGGGTTGTACTCTTAGTTAAGAATAACTAAAATCTATTTCAACACAGCTTTTTCAAATAAATTAAATCAACTTCTTTCAATTGTTGGATGTTTTTCACATGTTTAATGAAAAACACGCAAAACTGGACACACCAAAGCTGGACGCAAAATTGTCCACGCAAAATTCAACCTTATAAAAATAGCATGAGCTATATCAGTATCCCCTCGGTAAATGACGGTAAATTGATCGAATAATATTTAATTTGGTGGTGTCAGATTGTGAGATGGTCACATAGTTTGACAGATGATGAAGGCCGATCTTCACACAGTTTCACTAGCTAAATATTTTCGTCGCTCTGATTATCATTAGAGAAAGAAGTGGCAGTTTTTCTTTTTTTTTGTTGATATAAGGCAAATTTGCCGTTTTTCTGTTTGTGGAAAATGTTTAATCTTCTAAAAACTGGTAGTTTTAAAAGTGGTAAGAACAGTGGTTTCATTAGGTAAGTGTGTGCGTGTGCCTGGAGAGCTGAAAACCCGAAAGTTTTTTAAAAGTGGTTTTATGCTTCCGGTTTTATTTCAATTTTGTATTTTTTGGCTTGTGTTGGAAACTTGAAATAATGAAGAAATTTTGCAGGATTAGATTTCACGTCATGAACGTTGTAAACACGCTTATATATGTCTTATTATTATTTTTTTCTAAGTAAAACGTTTAAAATAGTTGACGCTCAGATTGAAGTTTCGGGGTTTGACTTACAATGTATTTTAACATTCAGTTCCTTTCTTTTGTTGAAAGGAAGGCAAACTCCACTATGGAACACAAGAAGTGTAAACGTCACGAAAAACGTGATCGACCGTTAGTTTCAACAGTGGATTTTAAGCAGGTTTCCCACCGGAATAGAGAATTTGCTTTTTGATCACGTTTTCTCAAATTGATTTAAATTTATCAAAAAATCGAAAATCATTGTTTTTTCTTGAACTTCAATGAGCCTTAAGGCCATTTATTTTCTTTGATATTCAAACGTTTTTTTCGAAAAGCAAGTCAGTATTTTTTGTTTCCTTATGCTCATGTCTTTTTCCAATTGTCTGTTGGCTATATTTCCGTTTTGTTGCATCTTTTATTATACTGTCGGTTGTTTTTGTTTATTTCTTGATGTATTTTTTTTGCTTAGAATCCACAATTTCGAACACTCAGGCTCCCGAAAATGCGCGAAATTGAATTATGGTTCACGCATGCGATAACCAAGCGTTATCAAATCGGAAAATTACTTTTTTCTATGAAAACAATTTATGTAAATCGTTTTGATTTTTGTTTATTTTGTTCATACACAAGCGAAGGGCAGTTAACAATGTGATCAGCAAGGCTATTGCAATCGCTTTCTAGAGTTTCCCCTGCTAATAACTTTGCTTACAGAATGGTCAAATTAGAAATGGTTAATTTTGGTTCTGTTCATAATCAATTTTCTGCGTCTCCAGCACACCTAGTCTGAAGTTCCTGGGTTGGAATCTGATGAAAAGCAGTTTTTATTTCAAACAAAATATTCACTTCCAAAAATACTGCTATTTACATTGTAGTTGCTTTTGGGTTTGTGATTTACTTCTGCCTGATTGTTGATTTACTTTTACCTAAAATACTTTTGCGTATTTTTTAGTAGCCTTGACTGCGTATATTTTCTTTTTAATTCGCATAAAAAAAATTTTCCGCCCAAATGATTTCGGCTCATGTTTTATTAGCTTAGTGATCTAATTTTGAATCTTTTCAAGGAAACATAATTTTTATTCTTGCCTCTACATCGTACAAAACGCTACAATGTAGTTCAAAATTTTCATCACAACAATGTTGTTTTTGGTTCTACGGGAACTTACTCAAGTTTTGTCGGCTCAGTTGTCGCTCAAGAAATGTGTTTGGGTTTTGAATAAAAGCCGTCGATGGTGTTTCTGGACAATTTTTTTTTCTGCAAATAGAACATATTTCCTGACAAAATCTTGAAGTTTTACCTGTAGTTTGTTCAGTTGTTTCCATTTTTTTGGACCTAAGGGCTATCGTTTTTTTTTCCTGTCTGCTAGCTGGAATTGTTAGTTTTATGTGGTATCACAAAAGGTGAAGAGTGAAAGAAGTCCTAATAGTTTTTTTTTAAAGTTTTTTGGTTGAACTGGCGTCTACTCAAGTAGTTTCGGCTTGGTTGCCGCTCGATAAACTTTCTGAATGCTGTAGTGATTATTAGAAGTAGTTTTTTTGACATTATTCAAGTTCTTTTCAATCCAAAATAAAGGCGTCCGTCTTATTTTCTATTCGCTAACTTGTAATGCTATTTTCGCGTGCTATCACATTTTGTGCGAAGCGTAGAAAGTTAAGATATATAAATTTTGTTTCCGGTAACTAAGATAGGTAATGTTGTAATGGGTGATAATCTTTTGGGGTCACTTCAGCAATCAAACCATCCCAGTTGACAAAAGTGCTGTCCGATTTCAATTTGATTCAGAGTTAAACAGCGAAATGGCCAGCCATTCCTTGTCGTATGTGAGACCTGATATGAAATATTTCACTAACATCCGTGCATTTGCGAGTAAATGGCTAAAGAAAATTAAGTTTTTATTGAGTTTGAGGAATTGTTGACAATGAATAAAAAATATATTCACTCATATTTGAAAAATGAAAATCATTTTTTTTTTTCGTTTTCCATCGAAATTTTTGACACCGAAATGTAACTATTAGCTGATTAATTTAAAATGGTGTTTTATTCGTCAGTTTCTGAAGTTTTTCCATGCCAGTTGAAATAGCAGATTATCGGTCATTACTGGTTTGCGTAATTAGTTTTTCGGATCCTCATCGAACCATGACATACTAGAAGGGTGTTTTTTCGAGGTTTTTATCTTGTCATTGATAAAAACGCGTAGAACAAGTTGGTATCAGTTTTCAGTCATTATTCGGATCCCAAAAAAGAGTCGTCGGCGTGGAGAAAAATATTTTGAATGTTATCATTTTGAGGCTTAATTTGAATTCAGCAAATTTTTAAATAAATTTCATTTTTTTAGGTTGTGAAGCCTGTAGTAAACAAGGTCTTTAAATACAAGTGAACGCACCATCACAAAAACAAATGCAAACAAAAATTCTATCAGTTTTTATAGATATAGAGCCGTTTGTTTGTGATCGGGAGATCTCGGATAAAATCCTGCCACTGACGTGACTTAATTGAAAAACCATTATCACAAGGCATGAATGAGATTGAACTAGATTTTACTCTATTAGTATTTAAGTGATTTGAATTCTCAAAGTGCACGTCAAAGTGTTCTGAAACGTTTTTGGACTGGTATACTGACCAAAAGTTTCTGTACTTACGATACAAACTTCGGAATCTTAGTTTTCAATATTACAAATAACCTAATAACTGCTAAAGGCTAATGTTTCAGACTACGACAAATTCGTAATCGCCAGATGCTCCAGTTATTCATTATGTTCCGACTTTCGAAGAAAACAGAATTTTAATGCTCGTTGTGGTTTTTTATTCAGTCAATTTTCGCCGATCGAAAAAATAGTTTTCAGCAAAAACTTTTTATAACCAATTGAAGATATCAGCTTCCTGAGTTCAAATTTAAAAAGGTTTTTTTACCTCCGATCATTTTTTGTAAAGTTCTGGGGGTTTGAAAATTTCCAAATTGGCCATGTTCTGGACTAAATTGTGCGCGCTTTGAAGAGTTTATTCATAATGCTGAGAGCGTAACGCGAATTATTTATGTGTGGCGAATCATCTTGCTCAACAAAGTTATTCCAAATTGAATTGAGGCTAGCTGATCGGTCGTAATAATTTCCGAAGTCGTAATAATTGATATTGTCCAATATTCGATAGCTTTTCGATATTTTCTTTTCCCAAAAACTATTTGATATGAATTAAAGGTCAATCGGAACATTAAGAGCTTTGCCCTGATATACGAGCAGTCTTGTTTCTTTCCCTGCTTGTTTTTGTTCCGACTTTCGTAACGAAAGTAACGGAATATTTGTGATCGTGATGGGTTTTTTTCTTCAGACAAATTTCGACTTTTAACTAGCCTTTTTTGACGGGATTTTTTATGTCATTCAAAAGATATTGTTGTCCTGAGCTTAAATTTGAAAAGATATTTTACTTGTGATTATTTTTCGTAAAGTTATTTTAAGATTGCCATTTTGGCCAATTTGGGACAATTAACGCGCGATATATTTCGCGCTATTAACGCGTAAGCGGAGATTTAATCCGTCTTAGAAATCGTTCAAATTGTTTGAAGGAAGCTTATTTGCCATAATCGATTTGTTACTAGGAGTGAAATCTATCACTTTGTACTTTATATGGCGTGTGGGGGGATGAATTTCACAAAAAAAATCTCAAATTTCAAATAAAATATTTATTTATATTTATTACATTGAATTTTTTCATATTATTACTGCTGCATAGACCTTAAGAGGCTGTCGGAACATTCAGGGTCTCGCCCTGATACGAGCAGCCTTGTTGTCTTTTGTCACTTTGTAGAGATCCTTTTTGCCGTCTCTATTTCAAAGTTCTGCATTCAATGCGTCAATCAATTTAATCCGAAAAATTTTTAGAACAGCATTGTTGTGTATTGCCAGAGCAGATGAATTTTTTTGTTGTTTGATTGCTTTCGAAAAGTATGATTTGAACCAGCTGACGGGAATTTAGAAATTTACCGTATTTTTCATGCAATAGAAACTGCCCTCTAGAATTGCATTTTAAAGTGTTTGCGAACAATTTTTGTTGCGTTATTTAAGAGTCAGTGAACGTAGTTGAGATTCTTATATAGGTCTCGATGTTTTTTTTTTCGTTTTTTTTTTCAGGAAAAGTCTAAAATTTGTTCAAGCTCAGTTTCACTTTTTCGCGGTTTTACTTCCGATTTTTTTTGAGGTCAGTTCAGTTTCTTCGTTAAAATGAAAGGAAACTCCACTCGAACAGCGAAGGTGTAAAGGTCATTTGTAAAGGTTTACTTGCGTTCATTGACTTTTTTCCAACTGTCTGTTGGCTATGTTTTGGTATTAGCTGTATTTTTTTGATCAATTAGAAGGTGCGCAATCAAAACATACCTGCTGATTCGATTGTGTTGTAAACACTCTGGCGAAAACTTGATGAGGTTGTTTCTCCACTCGTCAATTTTCTCAAGATTGTTTTCAAGTGTAGTTTTAAAAATTGAACATTGTACTTCATAATCGCTCGTTTTGTACGCAAACAAATTACGTGAAAGATTTTAATTGTCATAATTCTTAATAGTTGAATAATGCATGAAAAATGCAATCCGAAGCCAGTTTTTGAGCACGCCTATTGTTGTTGATTTCTACAGGTAAACTTCATTTACAGCCGAAACTTCTTTGTAATCGAATTATGATGGTCCCATTAAAAATATATACTCGAGTTTCGGCGACTGTTCAATTAAAATATCATTTAAGCATAGATTGTTGATTTAGCGATATTGTTTATTTAATCGATATTTTTCTGAAAAATGAATCCACGAAGGTTTATTTTGGAAAACAGTTTATTTTCAGAGACTATTTTGCCTCAAAATGAGTCGAAAATTAAGTCGGATTTCTTTCCGAATTCAATAGTTTCTCTGCCCGCGACAGTTAACAGCAGCAATTGTTCAGCTTTATCGACTGCCCGAGACTCACAGTCCGAGATGTCCGTCGCGACTACACCGAGGAACACTTCGGCATCCGAAGCACTGGAGTCCTATTTGAACACGCACTTTGCCGCCACTCCTATGCTCGCCACTCCAAGAAACTCAAGACAGCAAACGGAGCATTCGGCTTCGAGTTCTTCTGCTTCGACTTATCGACAAAATTCAGTGCGACAAAATAATATCAAGAATGTTCCGAACTTGGAGCGGAGTAATGTTACGTCCTTTACTTCGAAAGATATGGGACAAACTAGTACGCCCCGCGAAGTAATTTACACAGATACTAGACATAACGTGGTAAATGCAGTTAGTTCGGATATCTACATGGAAAAACGAGTTGATCCGACTTACTACATGCAAAACCGAAGTGACCCGAGCGTGTGCATCGAAAACCGAAATGCAGTAAACGTGAATAGAAACAGGGAAAGTATTAGAAGGAGTTCCCATGTATCAAACAGCCCAAATAACTCGGAGCATTCTGTGAATTCGTCAACTTCTCAGCTCCTAAGCACTTTGGACAAGCTAAGAGACAAATTGAAACAGCCTTCAGAAATGAACAGATCAAATGAAGTTTTCCTAGCGTATCCTCAGACTTATGCATATCCTACGACTCAGCAGTCGCATTTGACCTCGGCCTACTCAATGATTCAGTACCCTGGACAAGGCAGTTACATGAGTTCGCAAGAGTTGAATGCAGGTGATAATGGTTCTCAAATGCATGTTGGCAACCATCAATACAATTTCTCTGTAGAAGGTCATGCTTCAAAATCTAACAAATGTGAAGTAAGCTCGAAGACTCCGAATACAAAAGGAAGTTTCTCGCCAATGGATTTGGCAAAGTTAGCCGAGGAGCCCATCAGTTCGACAGGACTCGCCGTGAGGCCAAAGTTTGAGAGACCACCGAAGATATCGAACCAGCCGAAAAGTACTCGGAGTTTGGACGCATCCGACAAGCTACGCAAAGGAGGAAATCTGCGTCGGAGTCGTAGCCTAGCAACTTCTTCAAGAAAAAGTCAATCGAAGGAAGTTGTTAACGCGCCTCAAAACATAAACTGGGAAGAAAATTTAGACCCCAACTGTTTAGAGAATAACGGGGCTGTTACTCCTAGAAACGAAAGCTTACATGCTAAAGAAATGTTGAAAAATTTGGACCAGAAGTATTCTAAAGACAATCAGACCTCGTATTTATTCAAAACTACGCATAAAACGTTTCCAAGTCATCAGCAGGATTTCGACACAGTTTCAGTTGCAAGTGTAAAATGTCCAACTTGTGTTCCGAAACCTCTCAGGCGGCGGGCGTCTTCGTTGGACCGAAACGCAACAGCTAGCCCAAAAATATCAGCAAATGCAAGCCCTGTTAGTAACGTGTCACGAAATTTTGTTCATTCAAAACCAGCAGGTTCTACATCGAGATCAGATTCAAAAAATCATGCGAGTGGAAATCATTTTTCGAAGCCTGCACCTAAGCCTCCGAAGTCTAGCTTCAAATCTTCAACAGTTAATGTTGAAACGAGTGTTGAAAGTGAGTTTCCGTCTTTCAAGCCTTTGCCGAAAGAATTTGGATCTCAAAGTTGTCATGATCTTTTTGTTCTTCCACCAGTTGAGCAGCAGTCAAGTCAAAGTACATCTGCAGGTTATAAAAATCTCCCAAAAACAACTGATTTCAGAAGCAGCAAAACTGAGACAGTAGATTACAGTAAGGCTACTGAGCGCTCACCTTTCATAATTGGTGTAGTTTCGAAAACTTCAAACATTTATTCGTCACAATCTAATCATATCAGTTCGGGTTATCCCAAAACTTCGGAACATGAAACAGATTCTCGGAATACTGGGTTTAAATCAGGGCCTACGCAGGATGTTGAAGTTCCCAAGTTGAATTTACCTTCGCAGAATCAACAGCAGTCTAACGAGAGTTTTGTGAGTGCGTTTGATCACGTGCCCTTGAGATGCAGTACACCCCGCAGTCTCATACCAAGCAGCAGACCTCTGTTGTCGCAATCGTCCAATGCGACTTCAACTAGACAAAAGTCGGGCATGACTGACTTGGAGTCGTTTCGAATCCTAGCCATGTCGTCGGAAAGTGAAGATAACCTGGACAGAATCATGGTACACGACAACAAGCAGCAAGGTATAATAACGTTTTTTTTTTCAATAATTCGAGTTCAAAAAAGAGTTTTTCAGCTTCGAGATAGAGTATGCATATTGAAGATATTCAGCGATTTTTTATTTTGATTTTTGTTTTCTTGCTTTTTCATTTTATTTTATAACGATTAAGAAATATTCTTGTCAAAGGATATTTGCTCTGAAGTAATATTAATTGAATTGAAATATGGTCATTTGTAGGTAGCAGTCGAACGATTCCACCACTGTCTATGCTGGAAACCAATAATGGCCAACAGCCGATAGACTCACTGAAACATCTGGTGAAAGACATGGCAGAAGTGACCAGTCGAACCAACCGACTAGCCGACTCCTCATTTAACGCTTCAAGTAGCACTGCAGCCGAAGGAGAGGAGTGGGAAAAATCGACAGTCGGCGAGAACAGCATAATCACCCGATCTACACTAGACGCGCTGAAGTTGGTCGAAAATGGATCGGACGAGTTGCAGAATAATATCAATGCCCACTTAGACTCAATGAGAATGTTTGCTTCAAACAGTATATCATCAAACTAATTGTACAAGGCTGATTGAGTCAAGTGTTTTCAACTCTCAAATTGTCATACTTTGTAAATTAAAATTAGTGGAATTTTTACATAGCTTAATTGAAGTATTCTCAGTATTTGATTTTGAATAATCAACTTGAACTGAGTAGAACAATGAATAGAACACTTTTAAGCTTTGAATTTCAATCAAGTTCGACAGAGAATGGGGCGTAACTAACCTTACCAGTTTTTGAAGTTGTTTAAGGAAAAGGGCTTGTTATCAAAATCGATAGCATGTGAATCTTTTATGGGGCTTTTGAAAACAACGGGAAGAAAGGCAGTCCAAAAACACTTTCTGAAAAGTTATCAAATCATGTTCTATTAGTTTTCACTTTCTGGATAAGATTTGATCTCAATGGTGATATCGACCTCAAAACCTGCGTAGATTATGCAAGGGATGATTTGAGAAGGTATTTGAATTGAGTTGCTACTCTTTCTTAGCTAAGCCAATAATTTGGACTTAAAGTTTTAGGAACTTGAGGACAAGTCGCTTTTTTCTGTCGGAATCAAGAAGATCGGAATCACTTTGTTCACAGAACTTACCAGTTTTTTTTTCATCAGCGTATCAATTTCCAGCAAATAATTTTTCACGCGTGGAGTACAGAGTAACACATGCTTGGAACGACCAAATTGCCGGCTCTGAGTCCGATCAACAGGACTACTTTTTGCAAACGGAAGAGTTTTTTGGAAAAATTTAATTTTGACAAGTATGGTCTATCTTATTTTTTTAACGCCGTAGCCTGCAAAGCATGGGCGCTTCTTGCGATCTAGGCAAATTTCACTAATTCAAGGTCATTTTGTTCATTCTTCAGGTATTTTTTTTCCAAATATTTTGCTGACATTTTATATATTTGTTGGTTTAAGCTACGATTTGAGGTTTAATTTGCCTGAATTTTCGTTTTTTTTTCTATTTGCTCCTAATCACACAAAAGGGTATGGATATAGGGGATAGTGATTATTAATAAATATATATCAGAGCCAAATCGTGGGTACCCCTGATGGCCCCCATGTATTAACATAGGCTATAGATATCCGATCATCACATTATGTGAAAAGATAGGGAATAGATTTCGCAATGTATTAAGTTAGGTAAAAGATTTCCCAATGTTTTAAGTTAGATTATAGATTTCCCTATATAATAAGTTAGGTAATAGATTTCAGAGGTAAGTTTCATTTTGACGCTCCAATGTATTAACCTTGCCATGAACTAAGATAGAGATTAGACTACATAAGATGGGCGTTCGGTTCGTCTGCGTAGAGAACAGAGTTTGTAATATTTTAAAATACAAGTTTTCCTTTCCATGGTAAGAGAACTGTAAGAAAAACGAATTAATAGTAGTTTTCTACAAAACTTTAGTTTTTAGAAAAATTTTGTGGCGTGCATCATCTGATTGTTACTGAACTCATACTTGAAATTCACTGCCTCATTCAATACTTGTTTATATTTTGCTATATGTCCATCTCCAGAATCTTCCAATGTTCGGTTTTGCAGTCCTTCATAGCTAAACTTATATATTTGACTTGTACTACCGTAACAGATATAAGCCTCACTGCAGAGGCACACAATATTTCGGTGCATCTGAATTCCTTCATGTCTTATCCTAGTACTCTCTCGTTGTGTTTTATGTGCTTGGAGCAGCGTGTACGGGAAAAGACAGTGTTTTTTGGATCTGATAAAAATTGTTTTTTCAATCCTTGTTTCATTTTTCAGTCCTTTCTGCTCGCTTACTGGGAAGGATACATTCATAAAAAGCTTCTTCTTAAGTAAAATAGAAAAAAAAATTGGTAAATTTTAATTTTCTTGAACTAGTTATCCCAGAAAAAATATATCGAAACGTCCATAATACACTTTCAAAATTCTCAACTTGGCGTACTGTAGTTTTGAAAAACCTACTAGTTTTAGCTGGTGCTGTTCTATAGTAGAAGTAACAAGCCCCACTTCATACAAAAGTTATCCACATTTTTTGAATCGCTTGTAGAAGTGAGAGCTGATAGCTCAATAGGTTTTTTCGTCATCAAGATACTTTGTCCTTGTATGCTTTCATCTGTCAATTACTTGATAACCATAGGAAATTTTTGCTAGCAGTTTAATTGTTTCGGCTACTACAAGAAATAAAAGACTGTCATCGCCGTCTTGCCCAGGATCAACAAAAGATTTAAAAAAAAACTGTGGATTACTTTAGGTGGTGTGTATTGTACAAACCGATGAAATTTTGTATACTATTCCCTAGATCCAATTAAAAGTTGAACAGTGGCGCACCTGTTACGTTGGTTAAATTAAAGCTCGATATCAACATTAGTTGCTATTGTTTTAACAAATTGTACGCTTCTGCTTAACTTTTCATATAATCTTCATCTCGGTGCTGTTACCGCCAATATTTTTGAAAATATATGGGAAGTTCGATCATTTCACTTTAAGTTTATCTGGGATATTGAACTCGCCTTGATTCATCTCTAATGTTTTGTTCTAGTGAATTAGAAAAGTAAGGTCTTTTGAAGGGCATTTTCTTCTAACGTGATTTTTCGGGTCTACGTAGTTTTGAATTGATCCCACCAACTACACTTTCAGCTTTTCTCTATATAATATGTATTCGCGAGAGATAAAATATCAATCTTTGAGACTAGGTCTAGCTGAATGACAAGGATAGAATAGAAATCAGCAACCGATTGCTTCAAAAACTGTCTTGCAATGCTTGCGTTAACCATCAGCACTAAATCATTTTTTAAAGATTTTCTACCGTGCAGTAGTTTTTAGTTTCGCATTCAGTTCTGGTTGCTTTAAAATTTAACATAACCTTTTTTCAGAAGTAGGAACTCGATGTTACCTGGCCTTGAGTTTTTTTGTTTCTTCAGTAAAGTACTATCTTTTATACAAGCTTGTGGCCATATCCTGGTATACTTAATAAGGGTAGAGGGGCCTTGCATCAATCCCAACGATTGATTTAGAAAATTTGTTGGATTTTCGAAAAAGTCTTGTTTGCTACTGCTTTCTTGGTGAAACAACTAATAGGTCACCAGTCATATCTTTTCGTACTTTTTCAAACACGTCACTATCACTCAAGAACATGTACCAAGCTAATAGTTGTTGACGTGTGTTGACAATTAGCTTTAACATGTCTATCCTTTTATCATGATAAGTTTCGATAATTTTCTGCATAGCTCAAGAGGGTGGTAACAACATATTTGTTGTTATTTAGTGTAAAAAATTGCGCATTGATTTCAATTTTTCCTTTTCCCAGATAAATTTTAAGTAGTTGCAATTTTCAAGGCCGAGTTTCTCGTTGCTGGTTTTTCAGTTAATCCAGTGTAAAAAAGCTTCTGAAAAGGGTCATTTTTGTCAAGAGCCTTGTATTCTTTAACTTAATGTAAAACTCATCAAACAGCGGTAATAGTTTATTATCGAGCTTGTATAAAACCACTCGACTCAAAAGTATCCGGTCATCTCACTGGCTTTGTAAGCTTTGAGAAAATAGTTTGTTGAAGTAGTTCCACTCAAAAATTTTCAAATGCCCAGAAGCTGAATATCCAAATTTGAGCATAAGGAAAATGGTTGGCCAATTCGATAACTGAAGTTTCACTTTACTTTTTGTTGATGAGGTAGGAAATGAGATACAATTTAATGAGTTTTATATCATATCGGCTACTGTTGAACCAAAAAAGTGATAGAACACAGGTGTATCTCTCTATATGTTACATCAAATCCATCTATTGGTTTCGTGAATACAAAAAATTAATGGGTGATTTTTTGCGTTGTTCTTTTCAACCAATTTTTCCAAATTTGCTTCAACTTAAATTATCATAGTTGTTGGATTTTTTTCTCACAATATGGGCGTGTCAATCAAATTGGATGAAATTGACACCAACAGGAGCTCATATTTCCCGCTCCAGGTTGTTGTTTTTGTCGGTCTTAATTCTTCAGATGGTTCGCAAATTGATTTAAAGTCAAAAAAGAGACTTTTTTGATTAATTTTTGCTGTTTGGTAAATTCAATTTTGAACTTCATACAATTTATAAAAGTTTTTGGGATAATTTTTTTGTACTCTGTTAATGAATAGCAGAAGATTAAAATTGTGAGACTTATTGAAATGTTAATGCAAGCTGGAAGTCGAAAGGTTTTGAACAAGTCATCGATTTTTTGAACGTAGATAATTTGATAATTGTATCGCAAAAATTGTACTGTATTCGTTTATTTACCGCTGTTTCGCCAAGCTAATTTACCCATAAAGGTTCCTTCTTATATTTTTATATCTTAAATGTAGATAGTTTTTTTCTACTTAATTGCATCTACAAATTTGCATCTACATATTTTGTTAATTTATTCATCGAAACCCCACGGAATTATTTCGGACCACATCCCAGTTTTGTATGAAATTTTTAACAAATTCATCAAATATCGTCAAATTCTGTCTTAAAATTAAAAATTAGCCTTATATTATTCAAGAACGTATTTTACAATAGTGTTTTGATGATCCTTCATTCAGGCTTTTGCTCAAAGTATATAATTGACGGGGAAACCAACTCAAGCAACTATCGAGCTCAAATTGCCGCGAAGCTCTCACTCTCAATTAGATCTAAAATTATATATATTATATGTATATAGCTAACTGAGTGGACACCCATACAAAAAACTGTTAAAAATCTAATAATGTAGTGTTCAATCTTCAACAACATTGCCTATTGAACCGTCTTGCTTGGCTATCCTTTCATAATTTTCTTAATTTAGGACATGGAACAATCGTATAGAGTATCCTGTGTTTAAAGCAGGATCCTGTGTTTCAAGTTGTGAGTGTAGAGCATCCTGTGTTTCAAGTTGTGATGATTTTATTAGACTTTAGACAATTCAAGGTGAAAACGTAAATGTTTCTGGTCTGAGTTATCAATTCAATTAAGGAAAAAGTAAACTAAATAAAAAAAAATATTAAACAGGTGCTCGATTTGAGAGATTATTTTTTTGCAATTTGCATGTTTAGCCGAGAGAAAAAAATTACTGAAGCTAAACTTGATTTGAGTTTGGAAACAATTGTTGAAATGCTACAATTTTCACCTAAAATTATTTTGTTGTGTCAAAA